CTTATTGTAATTTGTCATTTAACTCATTGGTGAAATAGTAATCCTTGTAAAGGGTTCCAAGAGTTTAACTAGACCGAGTAGATACACTTGATGAGGCCTCTGCAAAAGGCTAATATCAATATTCCAAGATAAGAGACTTTTGAAGAAGTTGTCCTAAAGGAGAGTCTTAGAGAAGTATAATATAATATCATTAAAGACTCATCGATATCATTTACAAGCTTAAACTTTTACCAATTGAATTAGTTCTTTATATAATATGAGAGTCGACATGAATAAGTGGTCATGCGTTCGATACTCACCGCCCCTATTTTATTAATAAAAAATTAATATTGTGGAGTTTTTTTAGCATAGATAGGTGATGAGTCTGTGCATTATTCACTCTTCAAGCCTAGTAAGATCTCGTGTGAAGGGGCGTGTTAGAAAAATATCAAAATCATTTATGGCCTCCACTTGCAAGCTTAAGCATTTAGGTAAATGGTTACTTGTCATGGTCAGTAACCTAGTGGAATTATGAGAGTACAAGGTAGAATTAAAATATGGGTCTCTGCAATATTCATGCTTCAACTTCAAAAAGTTTGTTAAGGAGATATAATATAAAAATCATTAATGACCTTCACTCTTAAGCCTAAGCTTTTGGGTTGAAAATATTTAAGTGTGAGTAATATACAATCTTACCTAGGTTAGACATAGACCAAGTGATAACTTTGTATGAAAGATCTATAACCTTCAAGTTTTGAATTAAGATTTAGGGTTTTATGTTTATTATTTTACATAACATAACTTCACTTTCCTACACACACATTAAAGATGTGGGATCCACATGTTTTTCTTTCTCTTTTATCATTCTACTTTCTCTCTCCCCATTATTGTGTGTGTTGGAGAATTCACTTATATCATGTCACATAACATTAATAACACCCTAAGATTTAATCTCATTTTATTCATTATAGTTTGTCATTTCAATTATTAATAAAGGCTTTTATACTTCTGTTGTCACCTCAGAAGAAATTCTCTGTAACAACATATAGAAAGTCAGAATATGTCGGTTGTCATGATTTATTTAGAAAAGAAATATTGATGGAGCTCATTTTTTCTGTATCTGCTACCCCAATAAAAGTGATGCAGTGATAGCAGAAAAAAAAGCACACGTTAATGAAATAATAGCAGAAAAAAGACAACCATTAATGAAATAATATCCCTTATAAAAAGATGTGGTCCTCCTCATATCAGTATAACATAATCTTCGTACTCATATTTGAATCTTTCAACCCGGCCTTATGTCAAAAGAGGTAAAGGAACATCGTAGTCCCTTTCGAGAAAGAGAATAAACACAGAAATAGCCAAACATGAGGAAAAGAACATCAAATGGTCCTCTCCGGGAAGTGAAACATGACAATATCTCTTGTTTTAACCAATCAAAAAATAACCTTCTATCGTGTTTCCTTCTTAAATCATAATCATCCATCTAGAGCCGCCCATGTCAACCAAGCTATATATATATGCAAAACTTTATAGTAAATGAAGACGACAAATTCAAGGTTAGTAACAGTAAGTAAGTGGGCCCTATGATTGTCACAGCCACGTAGTTGCATTTTGGTAAAACTGTATAGTAAATGAGGACGGAAACTTCAAGGTAACTAGCAGCAAGTGGTCCTATGATTGTCACCGTCACAGTTGCGTAGTTGCGTTTTGGACATGGATTTTCTCATATGTTGTGTGAGATGCTGTATAAACAAAAAGAATATTTTTTTTTTTTTCTGTGGCGAGGATTTATTCCTCCTATTTTTCTCTAAATAACCTGAATTCAGATTTTATAACCCTCATTTTTTCCCAAAATAAATTTACTCATTTATAATAATTTAGAGTATTTATTACTAAGAATGAGATTGTTATTTCGTATATTATTTTTATCAAACATATAATTTAAAAAAAAAACTGTTTTTTTATTTTTATTTTTATCATTAAATACTCTCAAGTTATATATTATTGACTTTTTTTATTTATCCGTTACAAATAAAATATAATTAAGAAATTTTTAAATTTGCTTAATTAATTTCTTACTTATCTTTTTACTTCTTACGTATGTGCTTAATATAATTTTGATAAATAATAGGATAAATGGTTACTTATTTATTTTTTGGTAAACTGATAAAATATTATTTATTACCCTATTCTTTGTCCTTTTTTTTAAAAACTGCCATATACCTTTAATTAAAATATTTAAATTACTTAAATTATTTATATATATATATATATATATAGGAAAAAATGTGTGTCATTTTAAAAGATGTAAAGTTGTGTCATTTTAAATGAGATAAAGAGATAGATCATGGAGAGAAAATAGAAAAAAAAATAAAGATGTGGAGTGAAATGATATATAAGTTGTGTCATTTAAAAGGACAAACACTTTTTCCATATATATATATATATATATATATATAGCGGATATTCTTACACTTGTGTAAGAGTTAGAAGACTTACACTCAATCTTGATCATTGATCCACTTATATCCAATGGCTCACATTACTAAAAAATTTGAGCACTTAGATATAAGTGGGATCAGCGGACAAGATTGAGAGTGTAACTTACACTAGTGTAAAATGATCCTGACCCTATATATATATATATATATATAAATATATATACATATATATATATATATATATATATATATATATATATATGGGAAATCATTTCTACAGCTGCTGTAGATAAGCTTCTCTACAGCTAAGTAAAACTACGTCGTTTTGGTCTTTTAAAAAAAACTTTGTCTTCTAATATTAAACGTCTTCAACAGCAGTCCCGTTCCCAAACTCGTCGCCGTCGAGCAGCAGAGGGCTTCTTCTCCTTTCTGTCTTCTTTCCGTCGGTGGTTGCTCTTCCCCCAAATGGAGTGATTAGACAAGAAATGGGATGAAAGGGTTTTACTAGGTAAGGTAAGAGAGTTTTAGGAGCTTGGCTCGAGCAAATGCAACTGGACCAGCTTGTAGTCTAATCCCTCTTCTCCTTTGCAACTTGCGTTCTTCTCCTTCGTCGGTGGTTTTCCTTCATCGCCAGTAGCCCTTCCCCTCTTCCTTTTTGGGCGTTCACTCTCCCTCCACCATTTTCTGGTGCCCTAAATTTATTTCTTCAGTGCCCTAAATTTATTTTTAGGTGTTGGCAACTCCCCTCCCACCCCTTTCTGAAAAATCTATAGACTCTGTTGCGTGCAATTTAGAGATAATTCTTGTTTCTGAATAATTTTTGTGCAAATTGGTGGATTTATTTCTTCTACATTCCTGTATTGGCTTATTGCACTACTAGAATTATGTCAATAATAAAATGTTATTACTGTTTAAATTATTAACAGGAAGCAATACCAGCAAAGTTTTTCATTATATAATTATCTAATGGATTTTTCTCTGTTCTGGAATTACAGGTGCTCTCTCTCAATTGGCATTCATACGAAAATTGGAAGAATCATATGGTATAAAGTTGTACTTTTTCTCTTAGTATTGTGGCTTAATAGTGTTTAAGGGGCTGTTTGGTTTTTATTTTCAAGAACTGCTGTCTGTTTTTAAAATAAAGAAACAACAAAACTTGTTTGGAAGAATGTTTTTGGTCTTAACTTTTAATGACAATAGGCTTAACAAGAAACAATTATCTTGAAAGTTTAAGCTGCTAGGTGAAAGCACATGAATGACTCTATATCATTATTTTAACACATTCCTTTATACAAGAGCTCTTTGGACTCAAAACGTTGATGAATGAAAACATACTTACCTTGCGCCAAAATTCAACTTTTTATTAGAAGAATGGGTATGTAACTCAATACCACTTGCTCATAAACACTCAAATACCATGTTAGGAGCCAACTTTTTCAAAAGCTTAAGCTTTTAGTTGAAGGCATGTGAATGATTTTCTATCGTACTCACTGAGTCTTTTCCATTTAGAAGATTGTGTGGACTTGAGAGTGATGGTTACCTTCTGTTGCCCAGAGGTCAGTATTGTTTTTGTTTTATTTAGATTACAAGTGTGGCTGCTTTTATAAAGTATCACAAAATATGTTTATCTTATTTTATTTTATACATAATATGTTACTTCCATCTTTTTAATGCGAGACGCATGTGCCTGCTTCCATGACTTTTAATGTTATTTATCACATGCGGGATATATGTAATTCTATATGCTTCACCATGTGTGTTGTTGTGCCTTAACAAAAAAATATGCTACCATACTGATATTTTTTCTTTAATTCATGAATGAATTTCAAACTTTTTATTGTTGTGCCTTCTGGGTAAAGTGTTTGTTTTAATTTTTTGATAAAAAATAATATCTTTGTTAATGTTGTGCCTCTATTGACCATGTTAATGCTCCTCTGTGTAAGTTTAAATAATACTGTTACATTATCTTGTGCAGAATAATATCATTACTTGAAAGTTGTAAGTAGAGTTAAGATTTTCATATATCAACTTTGGATCTGCCTTGAACTTATGTCTACTTATATTCATTTTGAGTGACTGAATAGAAGCTTGAATGGTGCAATGTATAATTAATTTATATGAAATCAATTACTTTTATTTAAATAAAAAAGTATAAATGCCTTTCTGAAATGAAATTTTATTTAAATCTTTGTTTGATTTGTGCTGCACATTATTAGAGATCCTCTGCGGCTCTAGTCTTATGTTCTTATCTCTGTTAAACTGGACAATAGGATTAAGTGGTATCACTCTTTCAGAAAATTTAAGAACCAAAACTTTTTATTGAGGTTCATATCTCACTCATAGAGAGAGATTGAATGTAGACTAGAAAAAAAACAATTGGCATCCTGTTTATCCTTTTATAGAGAATCCAAGATGGAGCATTGTTGTGGTGCTACAAGTATCATGTTATGTATTTAAATGTAGCCTAGAAATTTTGTTGAATTCTTTTCTATGCTAACACCTCTGGTTCAGAAAAATAATTTTAGAAAAATAATTTTATATATGCAGGTTGTAATCTAGACTTATACAAGGGAACTCATGGAAAATTGTGAAAATCTCGCTAAAAGTGTTATTGAGACACAATCTCCAGGATCATCTACTGTTTTGGTTGCACGTTTTGGTTGCATATGCCCAATTTGGTGAAGTCCTTGTGTTTGATGTGACATACAGAACAAACAAGTTCAAGTTTCCTTTTTCCCCTTTCGTGGGTGTTAATCACCATGGGCAATCAATTTTATTTGTTGCTGCCTTGTTAGAAGATGAAACAGAAGCAACCTTTACTTGGTTGTTTGAACAATTTCGAACATGTATGTTTGATAGGTCTCCGGTTGCTATTATAACTGATCAAGACAAAGCTATGGGAAAATCAATTGCTAAGATATTTCCAGGAGCTCGACATCGTTTTTGTGCATGGCACCTGAAGAAACATGTTATGGAGCATAGTCAAGCACTTCGCGCACAATTTAAAGATAGTTTTGATGTTGACTTCCGTGAGTGGTATAAAAGTCAAAACATCGATGAGTTTGAAGGCAAGTGGGAAGCATTAAAGAATAAATATGATATTAGAGCAGGTAGTTGGTTGGCTAACATGTATACTTCACGTCATCATTGGGCAAAGGCATACTTGAAAGATACATTTTTTGCCGGAATGACCACAAGTGGTCGAAGTGAGAGCATGAATTCTTTTTTTGATGGATATGTCAACTCTAACACAATGTTAAATGACTTTGTCATCCAATATGACAAAGCAATCAAGTCTAGGAGGGATGCAGAAGAAGATGAAGATTTCAAAACAATAAATACGAAGGCAATTTTGGAGACTGCTCACCCAATCGAAGCAACAGCCGGAGAGCGCTACACAAGAAAAATGTTTGAGATCTTCAAAAAGGAGTGGAAGGTTGCCATTGGTGATTATTTTCATGAAAAGATTTCAACAGACAATAAATGTACCAAGTACCGGGTTTGATCTCGTGAAGTTGATAAAAAGTGGTGGGCAATTGTCGACTACCATTTGGAAGAAACATTCACAGCTCATTGTTCTTGTGCAAAATTTGAAACTATGGGGATTTTGTGTAGACATACTCTATACATCATGAAGAAGAAACAAATAATGACCCTTCCTGAAAAATATATTTTGTCTAGGTGGACAATGGATGCAAGTTATAGGGTTGGAGAATTTGCAGGCATTCATGTTGAAACAACTACTAATGAAGTTAGTGCATTGTCTTTGTGGTTGGTTCAATCTAAATTCACTATGGCTGTTTGTGAAGCAAGAGATTCTATTTCTGAGGTTAGAAGGCTTGATGCTATGATTTCTGAATTTCTACAACTACAATTGGAAAGAAAGAAAAAGGCATCTGAAGATGAAATGGCTTCCACAATTTATCCTTCACTAGTTCCCGATAATGTTACACAAGTTTCACACATTAATGATGTGCGTGATCCTACTCAACTAGTCAAAACTAAGGGGCGTCCAAGGGTTGCTTCACGTATAAAATCTAGCATGGAAATGTCCACAAAACAACAAAGGACTTGCAGTTATTGTCAAGGAAAAGGTCATTATAAGACTGGTTGTCAGAAGCTAAAGGTATGTGTGAAGTTGATATATGTGTTTTCCTCTCTAAACTTGATGAAAATTTTATTATGCTTCACTTGTAGATGGATGCTGCAAGAGAGAAGCAACAGGAATACTAGCTGTGGGATTGTCAATTTGTACAGATCCTTTAATACTGCCATTATTAGTACCAAGAATCTCCCGGGCTGCTTTCTCCAGAATTGTGATCACACTGTTCTTTGTTTTCATTATCTTCAGATGATCATCAAGGCTGTCCTTTGTTCTTGGTTTGACTGCTTTGCTGTAAAACAAACCATTGATTCCCTACTGTAATAATACCCAAGGTTAACACTCACACTTTGGAAAATGAATGGTCAGGTAAGACTTTTATTAGTAAATTTTTCATTGCATGAAAATCACTGTAAAATAAAAACAGGAAAAACACTAGCTCATTTCTTTCACCATTTCGTAAATTCTTTTTTTGTTATAGTAATGATTTAATGACTAACAGCTGTTGTTGGACAACATAATTGTCTTGCAGTCATTTTAAGTTGTCTAATTTCATCCTTCGTTTCGGAGACTTCTACTGCAGAAGTATTTTTTTTTCATGGTTGACTTCCAGAGTGTACTTTCTTTTGGTCATTCATCTCCCATCTAAAATGCAGAACCATTCATTACAATCAAGATTTGGATAAATTTTGCACGAGTAAGTTTGCTGGAATATTATAAAGAATAAATTTCAAAAAGATTTTCTGGTCTTAATTTCAAAATGCAGAACCATGGTTGCTGGAATATTATAAGTTCTGCTTTTTTTTCTTTGTGCTTAAATTTAATACCATTATGCGTTGCTTTATTTTGAAGGTTACTATATCCCCAGAAGTGGCTTCGAGAACAGTAAACAGGTTCATTATAGCTGAACTTGTGAGGCTGTATAAAGAGTCTGACTTGGGGATGAGACTTCCAGCATATGATGGCAGAAAAAGTCTTTACACTGGGTAATGAAATATTTTATTCCTTTAGTGGGTCATCTCTGTCTCTTCCATTTTGATCTCATATATGTAAACTAGTGGTTATTTCATGTAGGGCAGAGGCAAAGTATAAGAAAAAGTAGAGGAGAGACCAAAGCTGAACCATCCTGGGAGCTTTTTGGTAATAATGATAGCAGTATTAAGGGACCAGTACAAATTGACAATTCAGAGGATGATGGAGATGAACCACTTGTGCTTTTATTTGTAATTTTATCGTATCTTGGTATTGTTTCACTGGTAGAGATAACTTAATTTCATCATGACCATTGTGCTTGCTCTTCGGCCTCATTTGAGATTGTAACTTAACAAGTATTATCACTGGTAGAGATAACTTTTTTTTGAAGTTATTTTTTCGTTGGAATTTATTTTTGCAAAACACATTTTGCATTTGAATATGATGTTGTATCTTGGTATCAATGTTACAAATGATTAAAGGGGTAGGTGAGTTTTCAGTGACTGGACATATGAAACATAAGCAGCTTCTAACGTGCAACACCTATCGAGTGCTTGCCTAACAAATTTCTTCCTTTCACGGCACAGTTGGAGTGCCTTATCATCAAGAAACATAATTAACACCCACCCCGGATCTTGAATTATATCATTCAAAGCAAAAAAGACCCCTTCACTATTTTAGTTCAAAATTTCTTCAAGAAAGATTGCAAAAATCCAAAAACAGGACCACACCGGGCCCTGGAAAACTGTTGCAGCAGAGTGACATTGCACAAAGTAATAGCAATAGCAAGTAACAGCAAAGAAAGAGGATAAAAAGAAAAACAACATTGCATTTAAATTGGAACATGAAAAGATAACCAGTACAATTCAAGGTTACACCATAGAAGCATAATAAACTTCACTATATCTTAACCATCTGCAGTAAATATTCAACTGCGCGGATCACCTCTAATTATTCCTTCAAAAAGATTATCACTTCAACCTTTTGGCATTAGACAACAGGAAATCACTGACATGCTTAACTTGGTAAACTTCGGAAGGAAATTGAAAACAAACAAAGCTACTGGTTTGGTTTATATAAACCATCTGTATTTTTTCAAAGGAAACCGGAGTAAAATGGAAAAAGGCAAAATCCTGAAAAGCGGCGTTTTGGAATAAAAATACATAACCTCGACAGGATTGAATTTTAGCCCAAAGAAAGGTTGTTCACCTCTCCTGAAGCTCTGTAGTAAAATAATGAATGACAATTATTTTCTTTAAAAAAATAGAATATTCTTCGGCAACTTTGCAGCCGACCCTCCGTTTCTTTCACTACATTTCCTCCTGACTCTCCCCAAAAAAGACAGAATAGACTACAAGCTGTAAAGGGTCAATTTGATGTAAAGGGTCAATTTGATTAGACTACAAGCTGGTCCATTTGGGGGAAGAGCAACCACCGACGGAAAGAAGATAGAAAGGAGAAGAAGCCCTCTGCTGCTCGACGGCGACGAGTTTGGGAACGGGACTGCTGTTGAAGACGTTTAATATTAGAAGACAAAGTTTTTTTTAAAAGACCAAAACGACGTAGTTTTACTTAGCTGTAGAGAAGCTTATCTACAGCAGCTGTAGAAATGATTTCCCCATATATATATAGGCAAAATGATTTGTAATGTGACTGCATATGAGCATTGGTGCAGTCACCTAAAAACTACGTCGTTTTTGGTGGGATAAAGGAAGTTTGCGTTCAAAATTAATTGTAAAAAATGAAAATATTATATTTATTTCTACATTTGTATGGTTATGATTCCCCATATTTAATGTTTTATGTTTATTTCCACTTTTGTATGGTTATTATTCCCCGAATTTAATGCTTTCAGATTATAAAACGACGTAGTTTTATATGACTGCACCAATCCTTAGGTGTAGTCACTTTACATCCGCCAAACCCATATATATATATATATATATATATATATATATATATATATATATATGAGGAAGATTATACTTACAATTTTTTTTTTACAACCATATCTTAACACCGTTGATTTTCGCCAATCAACGATTATGATTTTCGCAAATTAAACTCATTAATTAATTATTAATTCACAATAAATGATAACCGTTGATTGACAGAAATCAACTGTGTTAAGATATGATTGTAAGAGGTTGTAAAAAAAAAAGTTATAAATATAACCTTCCTCTATATATAAATTTAAAGAAAAAAATATCTCTATTTCTCAAATCACCGTGAACCACCGTCGATCATAGTCACTGCTGCCAGCGCTTGCCACCATGGACCACTGATACCACGCTGTCAGGATTTTTCATAAATCTATTTAATGATTTTATGTGAAAACTGGCAATTGAAGCAAATAATTAATTAAATAATCAAGCAGATTGTAACTAAAGATCCTTTCGAAAATGTACAAAATTTTGGCGGGCTATGCCAATTAGTTATTTCCTCCATCATCCCAAACTTCTACCAAACCACTAAAGTTAAAAACCTGCACGAATTGTAAAGAATCGCTCCAAATTTCCAACCCAAAATTTTAAGGGGATATTTGGTAGACAAGAAAAAAAAAATTTCTCAAAAATCACGATTCTTAGAAATATTATGAGAATGTTATCTAAAAGTTGTTTCATAAGTCAAAATATTCTCAAAGATGTTAAGTCAATTTTCTTGATACTATGTTAGGTTAATTGTTCACTAAAATAACCTAAAGTAGATGGTCTATATTCCTCTAGTAAGTAGATCATATGGAGTGATCAGTTTTCTGATAATTTTGTAAGGGATGATAAATAATAAAATTTTATTTTTGTTGCCAAATCAAATAATAAATAGACATTTTTATCACAGTTATATAACTCAAACTAAAGATTAACCTCATCTCGGTCATTAGGTTAATTAACTAGTGGTCAGATTGCGATCAAGTAGTCAAACTGAAATTTTGAACAAAGAAAAAATATATCATATAAAAATATAGTTCTGATAAAAAGTATTATATAATGTAACCGAGTTAATAATGATAACACCCCCAGCATCATGTATAAATTAAAAAATTGTAAATATAACTCAATAGGAATATGTTGTCTGATGGCCTATGATATTTTATGGAAAACTTAAGAATATCCTGTGGGGTTTCTCTTAAAATCATTTACGCCATGTATTTTTTTTTATCACTTACTTGCTATGTAATTTTTTCTTTCCAATTCCATGTTATGATCACTTACTTTGCAGTATTCTTCCTCAATCATGTTAAAATTTATTAACGTGACTTTTCTTGAACCCAATTCTAATTGGGTGGATTCTACTCAAGTCATTTTAATGCTAATTTCACTACTAAAAAATGTTATTTTTTATGGGAAAATTCCGTCAAATGAAGCCATCGAGTATATCTTCGTTGGTAACAAATTTTTCGACGAAATTAGCGATTCCGTTGAAAATTTCTG